CAGTCAAAACCAACGGCGTTCTGCTGGACGACAAAAGAAATGCCAGCTATAAATGTCAAGGCTCTTTTACCAAAGCTGGTGAGTAGTTCATGTATAATATTCGCAGTGTCACACTTTCACAGGAAATAGGTTTGAATATATGATCAATATATATATATATATATTTATAATATCCATTACAGCTTCAATATACATATATATACTATTACTATGTTCTTTTCTTCTTTTTTTTATTTGCTATTATGATATATACACTATGTTTTTCTTTTTCTATTACCAACATCCTACTTTACAGTGGATATTTGTCGTCCTTGAAGCTGTTAGACTTTTTTATTCCTTTATCATGCTGGGAAAGGCTTATGTGTAAAGTGCTTTAACATCTCTTACACAAGGAAAAATAAATTCGTTACGAACCCGTCCAGCTTATGTGTGTACAGGGAGTCGATTCTTTTCCAGCATTTGTTCTGGTCTCTCGGGATGGACATATGCAAGCGCGGAGACATACATTTGTAAACTGTGAACAGAGTAAAAATAAAATCTGACCTTTATGAAGGAGCTCGGCAAGTAATAGTTCACACTTGAGTTAATGACATTTAGCATAAACATAGCTCAGCTTGCTTTTACAGCTTTATTTCTTGCGAATCCGACAAAATAGTGATATGTAGGCTTTATTCATGGGTGCTGTTGAACTTTGGAGGTGCATTGATGTTAAAGATTGACCCCGGAGTGACTCGAACACCCAGCCTTCTGATCTGGAGTCAGACGCGCTACCATTGCGCCACGAGGCCTTACGTTAACGACGGAATGATAGGAGAACCGATGGTATAAGTAATCTCTCTCTCTCTCTCTCTCTCTCTCTCTCTCTCTCTCTCTCTCTCTCTCTCTCTCGCTCTCTCTCTCTCTCTCTCTCTCTCTCTCTCTCTCTCTCTCTCTCTCTCTCTCTCTCTCTCTCTCTCTCTCTCCTTCTCCTCTTCTCTTTCCCTCTCCTTCTCGTCCTTATCATGCTCATTTTCCCTCCCCCTCACACACACACACACACACACACACACACACACACACACACACACACACACACACACACACACACGCACGCACACACACACATACACACACACACACACACACACACACACACACACACACACACACACACACACACACACACACACGCACACACAGCCCATGGGCATTAAAATTCACCCTCATTTCCCATTATGAAAAGGAAAAATACCGCAGATAATCATAAAACTTATCACGTATCTCTTTACACATGTCTATACACACTCCATGAAGTGAGGACGCAGTATAGATTTGAGTTTGAAATTTAGAGGAAAACATACATTGGGTGGTGACAATGATTGCATCATCATTGCACCTTATGTGTAGAGGAGGTGATCCTTAATTAAATGGAGGGGGGGGGTGAACCTTAATTAATAGGGGCGGGGGGCCGGTGGGCGTGAATCTTAATCTATAGGGGCGTGGGATGGGGGGGGGTTGAACCTGAAATTGCAAGAGGGGGAGTTAGAATGGTTTTATGGTTTTATAAAAATAATTGCATGCTATCAAGTATCCATCTAAAAAAAAGGAAGAAAAACATGCGATCAAATACCCATCTAAGAAAAAGGAAAAAAAACGATCAATTTCCCATCTAAGAAAAAGGGGAAAAAATACGATCAAGTGCCCATCTAAAAAAAGGGGGAAAAATACGATCAAATACCCATCTAAGAAAAAGGAAAAAAAAAATACGATCAATTGCCCATCTAAGAAAAAGGAAAAAAAAGTACGATCAAATGCCCATCTAATGACTGGTGGAGGCGATTGCGTCATGTTAAATGGCGAGAAGGAAGGGCTCCTTGGGAGTGTGTGCATGGGCGGGGGGAATGTATGAAAATTTCACACTCTAATTATTGTTGTTGTTTATATTTAATTCGCTTTCTCTAAAAGTATTTTCTTCACATTTATGACAGAGGTCTATGTGGGAATCTCCGTTAGTGGTTTCTGACACTTACGTTGAGTTCGAGGAGAGGGATAGGGGGAGGGGGGGGAGGGAGGGAACGGAGGAGGAGAGAGCGAGAGGCAGAGGCAGATTTGTAAAAGAATTTAAGGATGGAGAGGCGGGGGTGGGGGGACGTAACGTGTTAATTAATGTTGAGGGGAGTGAGAGGGGGTATTCGATTGTAAATAGCAGGAAGGAGCGGGGGGGGGGGGGACGTTTCCTGGAACTTACTGTTTGTTTGGGGATTTGAATATGAATTTGGTGGGGGTAAAAGAAAACGCTAAGTGCATCTACGTGTTCACTGTTTATATATACATTTATCACACACACACACACGCGCGCGCGCGCGCGTACGCATCCATGCACCCACGCACGCACTCACACACACACACACACACACGTATGTACACACACACCGTGCCTTACAGCTGCCATCTGGAGCATCTCAGCTGCAGAGTTCCCACGCCCAGATGTTCACTATGATTCGGACTCTCGAACCCATTG